TTCGTAGTTGATGGCTGGAATATTTTTTTAACTAGAAAAATTGATGAAAATAAAATGAATAAACTAAAATCTCAAAATTAAATAACTAAAAAATAAACTGCACATCGTCATAAAATCAATATATTACTCTTCGCTCCGCTAGAAAAATAAACACTAGTAATTAATAGAAGGACGCCGTCGCGCTCAAAATAACGTATATAGAAGATATCGCAGATTCGATCGCGCAGGGAAGAGTGAGGATCAAAGTCGGAGACGACGCGATAATGTATTTATAACAATATTATAAGATCGTCTTTATCGAGAATCTGGGACCGAACGTCCGATTTCTGAGTATTATACGGCGGGGTGTCGTGTTTCCGCCGTAAGACGGAATCGGATATATTATATTATGTGGTCTCAAACAACAAAAAAAAAGTCCACACCGCGCGGTCGGTGGTTAGCAGGTGAGGGCGAGGAGGAGAAGGGAAAATGACGCCTCCGAAGGCGACTGGAACGGGGGGTTTACCGACCCAACACCATACCGCGGTAGTGGTCGCCGCCGTCGAGTACAACGTGTAATAATAATAATAATAATAATAATAATACATAATATCGTATTATTACGGCGGCGGTGGAGGCTGCGTGATGGTGGTCGTCGTCGTAGTCGTCGTCGTCGTCGTCGTCGTCGGCGGCGGCGTGGGGCCGAGGCCAAACGGCGTGGTGTGTATGCGGACGCCGTGCAGTCCTTTTGTCGGCTCCGAGATTTTCGGACACGATTTCGGTTGATTGACGCGTTGAATCCGAAACGGAAAATATGTGAAAAAAAAACAAAAATACAAACCGGACGGGACACGCGGGCTCCGGCGGCGCGGGGACTCGGGCCGACGGAACGAATTATCGTTAACGGATCGTCGAGCCGAGGTGTTAATGTGCCGGCAAAGAATCCAGTCGGCCGGTTTCTTCTTCTTTTTCTCCGGGTTTTTTTCTCCTATTTTTTTTTTTCCGTTTTAATTTTATTTTTCGACGTGACTCGAAATAAATTACCGGCGATTTAGAAAATAATAATAATAATAAAAAAGACGCTCTCGACGGCGGCAAAACACCACAAATAATATTATATGACCCAGTACGCGCGGGCGCCCGTCTGTCCGTCCGTCCGTTTCGGATGAATACGACCAGGTATATACCCCGATACCTAAGTATATTATACATAATATGTGTGTGTGTGCGTGTGTGTGTGTGTGTGTGTGTGTGTGTGTGTGTGTGTGTTTTGTGTTGTGTGAGTAGTTACGTAAACATAATGTACAAAACGTGTCCGCAAAACGACGTAAAATTATCGCGTGTTGAGAACACGAGCTGCGGCGTGCTATATTATGTTCAGTCGGCTTCGAAGAGTAGATTTAAATAAAATATATATATAATATATAGATACTAGATGATTCACCGCAAGTGTTCTCACCCCCCCCCCCCTATAAATTTTCCTTTATTGGATATTGAGTTTTGAAATTATCATATCTGCTTACTTATTTATTTATTGATAACGCTCCAGAGAGTCAAGAGATATTTACAAAAATTTAATACTTACAATATAATATGAGACATATAATTATATGAATAGACAACTTTCGGCGCATGTACTACAATATTATAAACAAAGCAAGTGACAGGTACAAAATTCAAATCAAATTTAACCATCATATAATTTGAATGAGTGAACAAATTTTCATTTTAAATCTAACAGATACAATGTATACGTCGTTATATAAATATAAGTACAATAATAATGATAAACCTTGATCAACAAAATGAAAATCGTAAATTTTTTGTATCGGATCACGGAAAGATCACATTACGGTAAATATTTTGGCAATAAATTGTACTCTATTATAATATGTAAATTGGATTGATTTCAGATACCTACGTGGGCAGGAATATTACTATGAAATCATTTTTTATACCATTTAATGATAGGGTTTTGTGGCGATATAAACTAATTTTTTTTCAAACGATTACCAGCCTTATTTCTATAAATCGTAAACAGATGAACTTTTTAAAAATAATAAAATGTCAATGTATCCAAGTTAGAATTCAAACTAAAGGAGCTTCGGAGTTGTTATAAAAATTAGTGTATACCTATAGGTACTAAGTAAGTAAGGATAATAGTCCTTTGATGGTTGTATACATAATATTATAAATCATATGTTATACTTAGTATTCTATTTATTGAATACGCAGACAAATTGTTTATAAAAATTACGACATTTTAACCAATCAATTTTTGGTATGATATAACTATTATATTATTTGTATTATTAGATATACTTAATATTGTGTAATAGAGCTCTAGTTCACTACATAATATTAATTTATTTAATACTGATACATTTCCGCTTCAAACTCAAAGTAAATTTTTTCATCTAATTGATAAACATATTTTGAGGCCAACTTATAATACGAGGTGCGAGATGAATTATCTTTGCAGAGTTGTTTTTTTTTTTGCTTCGCTGGTACCTGCTGAAATATAATTTCAACTATAATTTATAATTATGTTTAAGAGCCAGTAGCCCAAAAAAATTTTGTGCAATCGCCTATCGACTAGCAGATAATTTTTTTTCGCTCCTTCTGGAACCTCACTTTATATCATATTATAATCATTTTTATAGGTAGTATATTTTTTAGGTACCTAGGTAAACACCTAAATTCTAAGTAAAATGATATCAATTTTTTTTCGATCGTTTCTATTAACACGTCTTGTATTTTTATCCACTGACAGTCCGTGTAAACTTCATAAATGTCCAATATTATGTTGTTCCGAAAATCTTATCTATGATATTTTAAGAACAAATTGACTACAAATTTTATAAAACCGATATCAGTGTCTGTATGTTTAATTATATATACTAATATAGAAATATCATATTAAGCACTCGTTTGTATCGCTCATAGTACATAGAAAGATTCAACTTGTTGCGTTATTCGTAAGGTTTATCACGTAAATTAATAAAATTTGATAATTTTTTTCATATTTTCGTATATTTTGCACCAAACAAGTATGTTCTGAAAATAAAAATATATATTAATATCTTATTTATATCTGAAAAACATAGAATATACATAATATATGTAATCATAATGAACAAGTTACACGGTATATGACATTTTTCGATTCTGAGCGGTGCGAGTTTACTAGTTCGTTTTACAATTATGTTTATTTATTTTATTTTTCTGAGCACCTTACTCCAGGAAACCAAATTTGATTAGGTCATAGTTCAACATTTAGAACTATTTCGATAAATGCCTAAGAAAACTATTAAAAGTTGACTTGTAACACTGCAGTTTTGTTGTACGAATTTTGTAGTTTTTACACCAAAACTCCACACAGGATCATTATTTGTAATGAACTATGAATGATTCATCTTTGTTTTTAAATTCAATAGGTAAATTCATTGCAGTGACCTACTCAATTAAGAGGTTATTCAATACTCATAAACTGTTCATAGTATTTCAAACGGCAAACAATCTTATATTTTGCTATAAATTGTTAAGCAAATAATTTTTTTTTAAATATTGATGAGTTTAAATCGAAATCATTAGTATCGGAGTTAATAAAATGTATGTAGGTACCTACCAAGAATGTTGTCTTAAAAAAATGTTTTGATAAAATACAATTTATTATTTTTATTATAAATTATAAAATAGATTTAATGTTAATATTATAGTCCCAGAAATGTTCATAAATTATAAAACTTCGTTATTATATGAATATTAATTTCTATAATTTTCAGATCGTCTAAACTAAACCTTTTATCATGGTACTATAATATTATTATCCTTGGTACCTAAACAAAGTTAAATACCTCAAGCATTTTTCATTTCGATACCTCATCATTTTCAAAAAACTAAAAAGTCAATTCAATATTTAAAAAATTCCAAGAAATTGGAATTTAAATAAATGTACTATTGATAGGGAAAAATGGGTGGAGCATACTTACGGCGAATTACTCTGTATTTTTTTTTAACTCAGTAGCCAAGTTGAAATTTTATTAAATTCTAAGAATATCGCTATTTTATGTCGAACTCCTATAGCAGATTATAATAATATATTTTTGGACCTGTGTGTACATGGAAAAGTAGATTGCATGTTTATGAATCTGAGTGGTACAATGATAATCAGATTATATATATTACATAATCACGGGCTATGAATGATTTTTTTTTATGTGTCACCCGCACATTTTAATTATTTATTACTTATATAATGCTTTATTTAACGGAAAACAATATTATTATATGTCTATAAATAGAGTGGGGATGAGGATAGTGGTTTATCTACCTATTTACACACGTAGTGGATACACTGCAATTAGTATTGACCGGCGTTCTGAAGTTAATCTTATCGCTTATCGACATGTACAAAATCGTTTTGTGTTGTTTTTGGGTGTAAATCTTGCAGTATAGCGTCAGTCCGTCTCTTATAGAGTCGCACACCGCGGTATACATACTTACAAACGGCAGTAAATAATGAAATATGTTGTATTAGGATTCTTATAATAAGCGATCTCAAATGAGTTTATATTTAATTGTTCGCAAAGTTGCAACATCGGTTACAGCAGGTGAAATCTCGTGTCGAAAGTGCTGTACGAAAATTGTAATTTTAATATCCCAATGCGTATTGTAAAAGTGCAATGTTTTTAGTTTTCAAGTAGCCATAAAATGTATAGAGCGGAAGTTTTGGCGTTGAATTTTAAATGTTACCCGTGCGCCAGCTGGTAATCGATACCTCCAGGAGGCAATTTTCAAGAAGATCTAGTGGGTGGGTGGGTAACTCGGCGTTCTATCGTCGTGACGTGATGCCTACACATATCGACTGCAGTAGACTGAAATTTGGCGCTTCTCATTTCACGATAGCAAAAAATAAAAATAACAATATAAAACCCAATAATGACGATCACGGTTATTCGACTCGTCTGCGCGATATCGAACTTACGAATTTTAATTTTTTTTTTCTCGATCGTTTACAGATGACTGTCAAATGGTGGTCCGTGCTGGTCGCGCTGGCGTGTTGCTCGATCCACCGCACCGTCATGTGCACGTCCATCCAGCTGGACTTACGGCCGGTGCCATCCAACGACCCTGGCGTCGTTGATCTCATCGAGAGTGTCAATCCGGCGCTGGACCCCAGGCCCGCCGACCTAAATGTCACGGCGCTGTTGGCCAAGCTGGCCGCCAAGTTCGACCCCAAATGCATGAGCGTCACAGCCCCTGAACAATTGGTGCCCGCCCCCGACATACCCTTCAGGTGAGAGTGATGATTGTTGAATTTAATAATAATAATAATTGTGCAGGGATTCAACTTTCAATCGTTGCATTATTATTACAATATAGGTAATATATATTGTTCTGTAAAGCGAAAGTATTGATTAATAATGTTTTGAGTATACTCCATATATTTCAAAAAACTAAGCTCTCTCTGAGCTAGAAAATCACTCACTATTCCTGAAAAATATATAAAATACAATTCAACGTAAAACGCAAAGTATGCAACATTGTACTGTGTACCTATATAACATTGCTCAAATAGATCAATATATTTATATAACAATTGATCCATTTAACCAGACCATTACAATTTTTCTGGAGGGGGGGACTAAAATTGTCTATAGAACCTGATAGTTGATATTTTCAACAAAAGTGTAATTAAAAAGACTGGTGTTGTCACGGATAACACTGGGTTTGGCTAACCCCCTCCCCGCCATTTAATTGTGTCTATGTGCAAGGCACTCATTATTTTAAAAACGCCGATAGTTTTAAAATATAATATTTCTTAATTTTTTAATTTCTCATTCCAAAGCAGAATATTTTTTGTCTTTAATAATTATTCATCATTTTGGACTTATAGTTTATAAACTATAACTTAATATATCATATATATCCAATATAGATAATATTACTATAAAGTTTCTCACGAATAACACATTATATATTTTCAAACTAAGCTTTAATAGGTACCCACGCAGGTACTTCAATTATTGTAACCAAAAAGCGTGAACAAAACTAAATACAAAAAACCACGATTTATTTACGTTTCGAACGGAAGGTATATTATGATATTATAATATTTAGAACACGTTATGTTAATTTCACAGGCTTTATTCCAACAACCTTTAAATTAGCGAAACAATTATTATTCAAACGTATAATTTTGAGTAATATATTATACCTATATTGTGTAGCTGCTAATTCCAAACGATTAACAACTCATACACGTATACAACATGGTGTTAAGTATACGTACAATATAATGATTACTAAATAGTAATTTTAATCAATAAAAGTTTGTACTTTAGTTTGTATGACGAGGTCTGCACCAAAAAATATATTGATTTATAAAAATTATTAGGAGTGTAAGTCTTATTTTATAAAATACACAGCTGATAATACCTATATAATATGTTATGTAATAACAATAATTAATTTATTGACGTTTTGACATACATGATAAATATGATTTTTGCGTTGGTTTTGCTAAGTAGAGTAATTACTGAATAGGTACTTACTATAATTTATAAGTTGTCATAGTCTTACCAATATTTTCACAATTTATAATCAAAAGATATCATAGCATTAGTACCTATATAATATATTACATATATATGACATTGTGTGTAACTGACTTCGTGAATTTTGACACCTTGACGAGTGTTTTTTTTTAAATTATTGTTTTTTTAAAAAACAGAATTAAAAATTAAAAATATTTTTATTTCATTAATAGAAAAGAGATCTTTTTACTATACTTTCCATGTAATTTTTGTTTTGTGGAGATTTAATTTAGGATTAGGAAATGATTATCCTTCATTCATTTCTTACACATGTTCTGTACTCGTTATTTAAGGTCACTTTGGGTATATAATAATTGCTACATATATATTTAAAAAAGGTAAGTTGATAAAGGGTAATATTATATTTATAGTTTTTAAATAACTTAGTGATTCTTACACGATTTAAACTGGGTGCAGGATGTACACGTCTTTACTTGTGTATATCAATCGAAAACAGGCAGGACTCCTCCTATCCACCAATCTGAATAACTATAGTTACGCCTATGCTCTTGTCATTGTCGTTGTAGGTATCTACAGTATCTATAATGACGTATAATAATACTAACTCGCTGTTTTTGTCATCCATGTGTTGCGCAGGAGGAATCGACGAGGCCGACTGGTGCCCATCGGTAAGATGCCGACTGAGATCCGAGAGCTGGACACCAAATTCTTCTCACTTCCGGACGGCCGGCGGCTCCGAACCCGGATATCCAGTCAACTGCGCCGGAAGATCCAGCAGTACCTCTGGGGCCGGACGGCGTGCCCGGTAAACAGACAGTGGAAGGACCTGGGCCAGCGGTTCTGGCCACGGTGGCTGCTCGAGGGTCATTGTCCCAAGGGCGAGACATCGTGCTCGGTACCTTCGGGCATGTACTGCCGAGCCACCGGAAACCAGTACAAGACGCTGTTGAGGTGGTATTGCCGTCAGCCCAATGTCCCGTCGGCCGCATTGCAGTACAACAGTCTGCCGGGCACGAAGGCGACGGCGTCGGTGGTCAACCAGATGAAGGTGTGCCAGTGGATCAAGGTGGAGTACCCGGTGGTGACCGAGTGCGGTTGCGGTTGCGCGACCGACGTCTCCGAGTGACATGGCTGGGCAGCACCCACCTGCAGGGGTGGAACGAAACTAAATCATATTATTATTTCATTGTATACGAGTGGTATACCTTATATCATTATTATTTTTCTCCAAACATTTATTATTATTAATTTTTTTTTTTACGAGTCGGACGACTTGTCGCACACTACTAGTCTTAATATAATAATAATGTACGAAACACGGTTTTTTTTTAACGACCAATTAGTTGTTAAGAATTTCATATATTTATAATATTATGCTAATTGTTTATAATGTTACGTGTACACCGTCGTCCATATCGTCAGTCCCGACGTATCATACTATGTATAATATTATCATTATGTTTTATTATTCAAAAGAGGAGATCGCATAATATGTCATAATATATTATACTATTATTACCTAAGATCGTCTTTCCGACACAGGGAGACATCTAGTATAGATTGGACAGCTATTATAATAGTATCGACCAGTGATATATTATTGCTCCAAACGATCAATTTTATTATTATGTAATAAACATAGCTGCAGTGCGTAATACGCTAATACGCACATCGATCAATCGGTCGGCGTTATATCGCCAAGTTGTTCGATCACAACTCTGGGAATTATCACTTCGGTTACTGGTAGGTGCGCATGTGTGGTCGTGTAACACCACCGGCGTTTAAGTATTTTTACCGACACTCCCCCTCCCCAACAACTACGATTCAATGTCATTATAAGTTATGACTGTTTCTACTGTATATCATATTATATACAATCCTATTAAACGTATTAAACGTCGATTTAGAATTAATTTATATTAATATACTGATGCACCCGTTGCGTCGTAACAGACACGATCATTCGACAGTTTTTTTTTTAAATATCACTCTCTCTCACGTATTATTATTATTACTATCATTATTATTATTATTATTATTATTATTATTATTATTATTATTATTATTATTATTATTATTATTATTTCATCATCATCGACATTCTTTGAGGTTTACATATCATATCGTTTTACATATATTTTATACCATCGAGCGAAATTATTGGCAGAAAAAAACATACAAAATACGAGTAAACTTGAGGTTTTTTATTCGAGTTTGCCTTCAATATCCGTTGATGCAAACTTTTTTTGAAAAACGAATATTATAATGCATTATACTATATTTTTCTTTTTGCTTTAAATTATTTTAGTTTTATATTTATATTTATACGTGTATTTTGTAAAAGCTTCTTGATCCTTTTTTTTTGCACTCGTGTAATTTCATCTTTTTTTTTGTTGTACATAAATATGAAATATATAGTTTAATTATAATTTTAATTCATTATACATATTATTTATTTTATACAAACCTTTTTACGCAGGAGTAGAATTTAAATTATAATTACTAATTATATTAGATACCTACATGTTTATATATAATTGTAATACGATTTTGTAAATTATTTTTCATGATGTAAATAACAAAGTTATACATAAATGACAATACAAAAACAAAACACATTATTCATCTTGTTATTATAATATATTATACTTAAGAATTGCACCAACAATTGGATAAATATGCATGATTTTATGTCTTATAAATTATAATCGCACTAAAATAACATTTTTTGGTGAACCACTATCAACAAATTTTCTCGAGCAAGAATATTTTCTAAGGCAGTTTTAGTGGCATTGAGAAAAGTATTAAAATCAATAAATTAAAAAAATTGATATCATGTTAAAATATTTCAAAATAAATGTGTATAATATCAATGACTGCATTTATCAGTTGCCCGATGAATAGAAATACTTACCATACACAAAAATAAGTGCGTTTTGATTGTATAATGTACTTTTTCACTTGTTATTCAAATTTTTAAATGACAGTTTACCTGAAATTACCCAAAAGCTGTAGTTCATAATATGAAGAAAAAATGCCTAAATAATACAAGTGAACTGAGCAAAACAATAAAAACATAATAATATTATATTTAACCGTTTGGCACATTCTGCGTAGTCGAAACATATTATTCCATGCATCAATATTAACTCAGCGAGATTGATATTTTTGCAATTGCACGAAGAACTTACGACTATTGCTTGAGTTATTGACATCGTCCAATGTAATATTGTCCAAACACAAACTTATAAAAAATATCATATTATTATCGTCGTATATATAGTATACACGCATAATATATATATAATATATATATGACGTATTAATTATAACCGCAGCACGGATTTAAAATTATAATAGTAATGAACCGGTGGGCGGCGGCTCGAGTCGTCTAAAATGCCAGTGTTTTATTTCTGTTTCGATTGTTCGAGAGACGACACATTGTTTGTGTGTGAAAAGAAAAAAAAAATCAAAAAATTATTACTATTGTTTCTGTTTTGTCGGTTTTTTTTCCGTCCGTCCTGGTGAGCCGCAGTGGAAAATATGCTCTCGGTCAGCGGTTCGATCGCAGCCGCGTGTAAAGCGTGTGTTGCGCGTGTGCTGACGGACGTAAACAATTTTTTTTTCTTTAAATTGTTACGTTCGGACCTGCGCGTTCCTTGTCGCGGTCTTTGAAACGTTTCGGTTTTTAGAAGTCTCTATAATACAAAGCATGATAATAATATAATATTATTTACAACTCTCGTTCCCACGTCACGTTCGACCATCGTCGTGTCGTGGTTACAAATAGTTTAGGGTATATTCTCCATCAGCCGATGTCCAGCCGAACACGAACACGAATTTCGATGTGCAGTGGTTGTCTGGGTGAATCTAGGAGCCACAACCGATTTTTTTTAGACTGAAAAGGATTGGTGTATGCGAATTTGATTGCCTGTTTTAGACACACCGTTTGAACGAACAAGATAGACCATTTTCATAATAAACCGCACATACACCCTTTTGCAATATTTACAGTCTTAATAACGTTATCGGATATTATCTCGTAACCAACTTGTTACCGTTCGAAACTTCATTAGGTTTTGTGATTCAACGCGTGGTTGATACCTGTGCGTAGACAGTGGAAGCGTGAATAGCTATTGTACGAGGCGGCTGCCACATGCAAAAGTGGGGAGGGGTGGGTGTCCCAACGACTCCTGCACCTAAGCAGCTAGACTGGTTCATAATTTCTACTCACATAGTCACATACGAATTGTGCTTAAAACGTGTGAAACGTAAAGCATGCAAAAATTGGAGGACCGGTATATATTATGTATATATAGATAGTGTATAGTTAGTGGCTTCTTAAGAAAAATAGTTCACCCCAACACTGTACTTAGCTATATACCACGCAGCTTCTGTGTAATGATAAGTAATTATTGTTCTCCTGTCATATAAAAATTCCACACCTACCAGCTGTTTTTTTAATTTTAATTTTAGCCATTTTAATTCAATTGAATAATAATGGATTCAAAAATTGATAATATCGGGAGGCGTTTCAATTTTAAATTATGCAGTAAACCAAATTAATAAAAAAAAACATTCCATTACTTGAATTCCTTAGATTTAGTTCAAATAGGAAGGAAAACGTTGTCGCTTAAATGGTACACGTCCCTCTGTAGAAGTTCGTCCTAGAGATAAAAGAAAATTCACTCAAACAGTATAAGTAAGTATGTTAAAGTATAGATTTTATGTCGATTCACCCAAACGCACAACGCCTGTTTGACAATAATATTTCTTATATACCCATCATATATTACTTTTAGGTAATTATTAACCCTCCAGCAAAATAATTTTGTTCGCGGTTATAGTTATAAATTACTGTAATTACATTAAAAACGTATTAGATAATGATAATTGTTGGATGTTATATGTGGCTATTATAATTATTATCTTCAATTTTTTAATACGATTATTCGACATTTGCTTTTGCAACTGAATAATGCACACAAATAGTTGTTCATTTATCATAATAAATCTTATACCTTCAGGCTATATATTATATATCTTATAGGAAAATGCTATCCGGGAATTTTTTAATTAATTGATTTTTTTTTCACAAACCGCGTGTACTTTACATCTTTCTAGGATATTGACGATCCAATTATTGTTAATAAAATTTAAGAAATCCTCATTTTTCTAATATATTATCGATCACAGCCGTATAATAACGATAAAACAACAGCTTCTCTATATTCACACGTAGATACTCCCGAAAACCTAGAAATCATCTGAACACGGTCGTCTGTCTATTGACCAGCTCGTTATTTTTATACCCATCCGAGTTGAATCCAGATTTTCGTCAGTCCCGCGTGCGGACCCGCTACGATAATTTTATTAACGCCATCGTCGTCGCGGTAAAAATCACTATATATTATTATTATATTATATGCGTATATCTGTAGTACTACACGCATTTTGTGTGCGCTCGTATTATAATAATATATTATATACATAAAATATATATGGGTACCTACCTCCGTTCGGCGCGAGGAGAGGAGAAAAATATGAAGGAAAAAAACCACTACACACGCGACACCCACACCGTTCTGACGCCCTCACGTTTAACCCGGACGCGAATGTTTTAATAGTTATTTATTGTAATAGGTGAAAAAAGCGTGGGCCGAGCCGGGGGATTCTAGATTATTTTAATTAATATAATTTATACATAATGTTATAATGTATTCCCATCGAGAGAGCGTGGTGGTTTTTATCTTTTTTTTTTTCGAAAAAGTCGAAAAAAAATTCGGTAGATAACATCTCGCTGGTCGGCGGCGGCGGCGGCGGCGGCTGCCTCATAACACACGTGTTATATTATTGTATATTGTACAGCATATATGCTGTACGAAAGAGAAACCGTATAAATATATACGAGTACACCTGCAGGTGCCCACTGAATCTTCGTATTATAATAGTCGTAGTAGTACACAGTAATAAAGCGGTAGGTAAATAGGTAGGTAGGTACTATTAGGTATAATGTGAGATTGTTTTTTTCGACTGTTAGTTAGATTGTTGTTGTTATTAATCACGTGTTTGCGCCGGATTCGTATGCGGCGTATACCGTGGTTACTGGTTGGTGCAACACGTGCATAAGATGACTGCATTATACGACGGTACGTACAATTAATAAATTATTAGGTAGGTTCTTTAAGATGTCGTTAGTTTGGCAAACCGATTGGCGATGAATTGGATTTTGATTTGAACTATATTATAAATAGTACGACAAAACTATAGCAATAGAATTTTAAATAAGACAATAAAGCCCTAAGAATCTTTTAAAAAGTTTTAAGATCACAATAAGGTATTTTTTTTAATTGAATTATTGTGTTTGTACTAATAAATTAATACTGCTATAGTTTTTCTCTCTATAGTTAATCTATACATTTAATAAACTGTTTTAGATAATTTAACTGAATACTTAAATTTCTGAACAAAAATATTAGTCGATAATCAGACAGTACAATATGTTTATATTTTTAAATAAATTCGTTCTACGTCAAACGATTAAGTTCAACCACAGTTTTATTTTGAAATTCAAAAACAAAAAAATTATTAGTACGCTAAAAATAGGTAGTTGAAGCTCGAAAAAAGCATTAAAAATAACAAACAAGCATGAAATATAAAAACGGATGAATACTTAATACAATAATGTGCATTTGTGCTACTTTAATTGTATCGTTATACAAGAATATGAATAACATATTGTATAGCCTCAAAGCTGATAATACGCTTTGTTTTAAACTAGTATTAAAAAAAAGCAAATGCCACAAAAATTCGTAATACTTAAAGTATAACATGATATATATTATAGATAGGTTGTGATAATATTGGTGGCCTATATCATCTAAGACGACTCATTGTACTAACTTGCGTCTAGAAAAAAAGATTAAGCCGGGTTCGTGACGAGTGTTGTTTTCCAAACAACCATTAACCATACCTATATTCAATAGGTATATATAAGTAACAAAATGTTGGTAACACTTCACACTTACAGAAGATTTGGTGTCCGTCTCAACATAAGAACAGCTGGTACTAAACTCGATACGAGTAATCCGAATAGTGCGTCTCGATGCCAGCTGGATGAAATTTCGGGCTACCTGTAAATTGTACATAAATTACAGACTGTACACATCAACAGTTGTGTTCCAAAAGTTGATGGGTATCGATGATTGC